ACATGTATTTACACCCAAATATAAAAAAAGCGCTAACCAATAATTATTCTGGTATCCTAAGATGATATATTCATATTTATGCATTTAACGCCCTTTTATGGATATATATTTGTTAAATTCTGCAATTGAAAAATAAAATTTAAGTTGTACTAAGCTAGTAAATATATTTTTTTCCCAATGATATTAAGTAAAAATAGAAGTTTAAATTATTTGACATTTAATTTGATTTATGTACATTAATAAAAGGGTTTCTAAAAATTATTTTGAAAAAAATATTATATAGTCAAATTTTGATTCATTATGATTAATTGCTTTTTAGCAATGCAGTATTTAGTCATACCGGAAAGAATATATAAATCTAAAATTTTAAAAAATCTTCAGAGCATATAAAAATAAATTATAATTATTTCCACTATTTATATTTCTTACTTTTTTTCTAGCTTTATGTATTTATTTTGTATATACATTTTAATAATTCTATTTACAAATGTATAAATCCAAAATCATCAATAGATGGATGTTGTAATTTTATAAATATATTAAAAATATCGCTAGATATTGATATCTTGTTTGAGAAGATTATTATGCTCTCTATTTTTTATGATCCTCCAATATACTCCAAAATATAAGGTCTAAAAGCATTGGAGAAATGGGTATAATTTTTTTGTAATATTAATCCCCATGCTTAAAAATATTCGAACATGTATTCTCTTTGAAAAATATTACAAAACGTTACTGGGGGGGGGGGGGGGGTAACTAAGCCATTTTTCACAAACTCGATTTTCATAATTCCTTCGGAAAATAAAAATTTTCACCAAATTTCTCCCACAATTGATCATACTTCCCCCCTTTTCTTTAAAAGTCATAACAAATCTTTTCCTCTTTAGGAATTCTTAGTATCTTATATGAATTAAAAATTTATATTCTTTTAAATTATTATAATTTATTATCTTGTGATTTATTATTAGTTGTTTTGTTTATCCCATTCAAATTAATTTTTCTGAAATTCGCAATTTTAATTTAAAATAACATATTTATGTATTTTATTTTCCAAATTTTAACAAATTATTTCTAAATTTTAAATCATTTATTATTATAATTAATATATAACAGATATGTCAAATCCAAATCAAACTTTTTTTTATGTTTAGCAATAAAATACATAGATTCTATTTATGGATCCTCTACTTCCCCCCCCCCCTCACCCTGAATATAATTATATATTGTCAATATTTTGTTTTAGTATATATCCGCCTGCAATTTCTTCAGATTAAAATTAATTAGGGAAAATTATTCTTTTAATCTTATATTTACTAGGTCTGAACCCCGTGTCTAAGCCCCTGGTTGAACCCCGGGTATTTGCTCAGGGTTCGTGCTCAGAGCAGACCTGAGCACAAAATTGGGTGGTAAATTCGACCAAGCAAATTAAGAATACTAGTTTGTATAAACAATTGTAGAGTTTTTTCCCATTTCTGGTAAAAACATTTTAATAATTGATCAAATCCAATATTTTTTGATTCAGCCCTTTATTTCAGAGGGGTAGAAGGGTTGTATAAAATTGAACCCATAGTCATAGTGATACAAAACGTGTATAACTAATTTATTTTATTTCTTCATTTTTAAGTATTGATGTGCCAGAGTTGTTAAACTCGCGCGCTATCTTTTTTGATAGCGATAGCTAATAGTGCGCTACTTTTTCTAATTATTTATTATTTTAGCGCGCTATTTAGCTACTTTTTAAAAATATAATCAATGTAACTTATGCACATGAAAATTTAAATATAATATCATAATTTATTATTTCATTTTGAAATTTATATTTTCAATTTGTAATTTATATTTTCAAATTCATTATAAACCTAAATCATCTGATGTAAATTATTTAAGATGTCATCTCAAATGGATATCCAAATCGATGTAAGTGATTCAGATAATTATTATATAAATGAAAAGGAAGATACCCTGGAAGAAAAGTTCTTGATAACAATAATATAAATTTCTCATTTCTAAAGTTTGAAAAATATTTTCAAATTAATGTAAAAACAAAAGGTGGCAACAAATTTATTTGTTCAAACTTTAAAAAAATATATCCTCAAATAAACGTAGTAGCTATTACCTCAAAAAACAATTGATGGTAATTGTCATTTTTAAATTCTATTAGTATTTTTATTTTGTAAGAATGTTCATGCCAAAATTTTTAAAGAGATAGAAAAACATCTTAATAATGTCGGTATAGAGTTAACTACATCTAAAAGGACCAATTTAATTCAAGTTAAATTGATTAATAATATTGCACATACTAATATTTCCCAGAAACTGGCTGATAAATTGATACAGTTCAACCAATGTGCTGATAATCCATCATTTACCATGATGACCAAAACTATCACCTGGTACAACAGTTTTTTGTCGCCAAACACTAATGATTGAGATAGTAGACTAAGATACCCTAGTTTGAACCATAGAAACGACTTCCAGTGATAGTTTTTTGAAATAAAAGACACTAATATAATAGAAAATTCTCTAGACGCCTTTTTTAAATCTAAAAATACAAATGAGTATTTTTGATAATTTTTCTTATATTAAAAATATGCATATATAAAATATAATACTGCCTTGCCCTCAAGTGCTAGTGCTAAGAGATTATTTAGTGAGGCAAAACTTATACTTTCTAATCGTAGCTCTAGACTTGGGAATGATATTATAGACAAGATTTTATTATTAAAATATAACAAAATAAATAAAAAATGAATATACCATAAATGCTTATTTTTTTACATAAATTATAGTCTTTTTACATAAATTTTATTTAATCAAAACTAACTATATTTAAATATTTATAAATATTGATTTTTATGTATTATACTATACAATTGCATTATAAGCAAAAAATAAAAGAAATTTATTTATAATTTTTTTTATAAAGTAGTGTAAAAAGTAGCCAAAGCAACTTTTAAAAAATAGTAGCTAATAGCGCGCTACTTTTAAAGGTAGGGTTTAACAACTTTGGTGTTATCTTTATTATTTTTCTTTTAATATTATTAAGATTTTGATATAAACAAATAAAATTTTAACGTGTACCATTCAATTTACTATCTTGGCTGGCTGAAATTTATTGTTTTGTAGCACATACTTTCAAACACAAAGTGAAATCATAAAATTTTGAAATATACATTTTATTTCTAATGCTTTAAAAGTATATATGTACAAAATTTGTACATATTTATTCTGTTTCTTTCCTTCTATTCAAGGACAAAATATGAGCTCTATTTGATTTACTTTGACTTAATGAAATATATTTAAAAAATTGAATTTAAAACTTTATGAGGATGAACCCGATTAAATTGAGTTATCAACAGATGATTAGGACTAATCAGGGGCCTAGCCAGATTTTTTTGTGCCACTTTTTTGCTCGCCTTCGGCTAAGTTTCGCCGCTACCAATTTAAAATTATTTTGTAAGATATTTTTTGTTTCCCATTTGTTAATTTTCGTTTTTTTGAAATATCCTTCAGTGACCTGCAGAAGTCAAAATTAATTTTGTCCCATGTATAAATTTTCCCTTTTATGTCCTGTGGCCTCGGTTTTCTATTTCAAAACTGGTACGAATTTTTTAAAATGTTGTTATTTAAATTTGGCTGTATTTTTTTATAATATTTCAAAGGAAGATTAGTAAATAAATGTCAAATGATTATTCCCGATTAATTGATAAATAATATTAAATATTTTTAAATAGTTCACCTCGCCCGATTTTTTTATAATACAGCTCCGTGAAGGTGACCAAAATTAACTCTAAAATCATTGCCAATATTTAGAGCTTTATTAGGGATTTAATCAATTTGGTAGCAGTTTAAAGAAAAAATATTAACAAAACACAAAAAATTCTGGCCCACTTCACGCTTAATAATCGATTGAAAGGGCTAATTCTGTATACTTTTAATCAATCTGTATTAGATGCGCTAGAGGAAATAATTTGATAATTTTCTTGAAAATAATATTTATATTTTACATAAACATAAAGAAAAAAAATTAAAAGACAGAGTGGAATAGAATGTCTATCTAAGTTCGACAAATCTAAGTAATTTCATAGGAAAGATCTGTATAATACTCTAGACTATTTTAATAATAGTGTTTTTCTCCTAGTTTTAATTGTATAATATAAATTTATAAAAACAAAGTATGAAAAGATATATATTTTAAAATATTGTTTTGAATTTTTAAAAAATAAAATGATTATTCAACAGCATATATTCTTTATATGCAATATTTTATCTCTTTTAAAACTCTAACAAAATAACGCCTCTTAATATTTAAAATCCTCATTAAATTTGCAATTTGATGATGTAATTTTTTATTTAAATTATGTTTTGAAAGACACTTACAAGGTTTCCCATTTTTTAAAAAAGACGAGTCCCTTAAGTCAAGATGGAATCCGAGTAGGAAAAATTTCAATCAAAAATGTAAAATATCGGATCAAAAAAGGAAAAGTCTCCCAAGTAAATAAAAAGTCTATCAAAATAGTAGAAGGTCCAATCAAAAAGAAAACTAAAGGGGAAGGCAATTAAAAAGGGACCATAAAAAAGAAAAGGCCTGACAAAAAAAAGTTCCAAAGAAAAGGATTCAATAAAAAGGAAAATCCTTATTTATTATATTTTTAATTCCTCTTTTCTATTTCTATCCTATTCCTTACTCACAGTTAATCCGAATTCGCTGTGAAGAATAAAATAAATAAAGCATATTTTATATACTTTGCCCCGAATTTGCGCTAACTAAAAGAGAAGTTATTATAATTGCGGTAAATAAAGCAATCGTTGTCATTTATGAAATTGCTTCTATTTTTAACGTAATTGAAAGTTTTTTTTAATTTGAGATTTAAAAAAAAATAATCATACTTCGAAGAATTTATAATAGGCCAGGTTTGTAAGCTTAATTTAAAAAATTTGCTATTAACTAAATTAAGTTTTATGTCAGATAATCGTTATAAATAGATTGTAAAATAAACTGTTGTTCCATCTTCTCCATCTATACCATTTTTTCCAGGCAGTCCATCTTTCCCATTTTTTCCATTATTCCCTGGTGGACCTTTTTTCCCGGGTCGACCATTTTGACCAGGTAATCCACCTATACCCTTATATTTTTAATTTTGTAATCATAAAATATTAATATAAATATAATATACATTCAAAATATTAAAGTAATTCAAAAAGAGCAAAATAACTGACTTCATTTTTATTGTTAATATGCAAGAGTTCACGACAAACAACTTATGGAATGGAAATTTACGATGAACAGATGAACACTTATCTACCTTTTTTAGCCAATACCAATAAGGCATCGGCCCATATCCATAGACTTATAACACAATTAAATAATGAATTTAAAACATAGTTTATTTGGGCGCCATCTTTAAAATAACAGGTTTACTGTTAAAAAACTTTAAATTTTATCAAAAAAAAAGATTAATAAAAGGTAAATAAATATATTTTATGCAATTATTACCACATACACTTAGATATTATATAAGAACAATCCTTTGTCATTAATATTATAAATTATTTAAGATAATTTTAAGGCTAATTTATCTTTAAATTATTTTTTTAAGTCTGTCTTTGTTCAGCAAATTTTATAGGAGCAGAGGTTCAAGGATGTGAAAAAGAATTGCTAGAAATTTAATCCAATGCACCAGATGCCAGAAATGGGTACATTAAAAATGTAGTGGGGAGTCTGATAGTAAGAATAACTTTTATTAGAAGAATATGCATAAATGGTATGCATAATATAACGTAGAAAGTGAAGGTTTGGATATTGGCTATGGGTGAACCCTGGGGAAAATGGAAAAGTTTTGCTATTTAGGCGGCGTGCTAAGCGCTAATCAAGGTGTAGATTATGCAGTTGTTGCAAGGGTCAGACAAGCATGGAAGAGTTCAAAGAGGTAACGTTTATTCTAATAAATAAAAACGCCTCTCTGAAGATAAAGGGAAAAATTTCGTAAGCTGTGTAAGGAGTTGTTTAGTTTATACATGGGCAATGAAAGTGGTTTACAAAGCTAAATTGGAAAGAACGGAGATGAGGATGATTACATGGATATAAAAGGTACCACTGAGAGATAGAAAAACTAGCAAGGAATTTCTAGCAAGAATGGGAATAGAAGTGATTGGAGTTGTAGAGTGAAGAAATAGACTAAGATGGTTTGGGCGTATGGAACGTAAGACAGAAGAATAGAGGGTGCATCTCGATAGAATTAGGTGGATCAAGACCCCGAGGAAAACCTAAGGTGATGTGGATAAAGGTGATAACGGTGGATATGGGAAAAATGAATCTTACAAATATTGATGCTCAGGACCGTCAAAAATGTAGAAGGAAAATCAGAGAGGAGACGAGCTTACCTGGGTAAACTAACGCCATTAAACGTAGAAGAAGAAGAAATTTATTAAATCAATCAAAGCTTTATTGAATAGTTTTTTAGAAGTTAATATTTCTTGATTTTATCAATATTTAAAAACCTAATTATACCAGGGTAAAACATTTGCTCAAAATTTAAAAAAAAAATGTGAAGATTTTTTTGTAATAAAAAATTTTAAGCATATCTTTGATTTTCCTTATAATGTTTTTTAAAAAAGAATAAAAAAAATTTCCTAGATGTATTACAAAAAATTTTTGAGCACTTTCAAAGAAGATTTTTGAGCAAAATGAAAAGTGTTTTTTGTAAAAAAATCTTCTCTGAGCATGCTCAAAATCATTTTTACAAACTTCAATTTTTTTTATCTTCAAAGATTTTTTGCTCAAAATTTTGGGCGAAAAAAATCTTCAAAACCCATTATACACATTATTTTCAATAACTATTATCAATACACAAAAAAAAAAATTTGCCTAATTATACATATAATTATCTTATTTTTTTCAATAATTCATTATCAATACATATATGTGAGAAAATTGTAATATATCACATTGAGCATGAGAACATTCATAGCAGCATATACATTTAATCTAGCCTTCTTCTATCTTGCTCTTTGAATGCTCCTTGCAAATAATTCATAGCCATTCATATATTTTTTTTAATTTACAAGCATGATGTTAATAACTAAGATTTGTTTTTTTCTATTAATATATTTATCCTTGATTTCTTTATTTTTATATTTAATAGGATGTGGTTTAGTAGATCAAAATGATTATTTGAATTGTTAGATGGAACATTATATAATTGATTAGAAGTGGCATTGATTTATTGAATCTCAAACATATGAAATATCAGTAATTTGAATACTCTATTTTTTTCCACCAAAAAAAAATATATAACCTGATTTTTCTAAAAAAGGTTAAAAAAACAATTTTTTGGTCGATATTGAATTTTTTCATAGAAAATATATTTCCCATTTACATTAATTTTTAATATTCCATATTATATTATAAAATAAATATTAATATTTTGTTATAAAAGAAGCCCGCATTTTATTATATAAATAAATATATATGGGCCATTCCATGTCAAATCGATCAAAAAAGGCCCATTTTCGACCGACCCCTTTTAAAATTGTTAAAAATTTCTGGAATTATTTAGAAAGGGAAATAAAAGAGAAAGCCGTTTATTTTAGCTCGCTAGCACACCTGGTTCTTGAGATATAGGGGCTTATAAATTATAAGAAAGATTTTATTATTGGAAATATATTACATTATTAAGTGTCTAATGGGCATTTACCCACACTGCCCCTCAATTTATTTAGTATATTTAATAGAAATTTAAAATATTTTTAGTATAAAAAGTGAAAATATCCGTTTATTGATAAGTTTGCAGCAAAATTTTAACCAAAATCCGTAATTTCATAAAGCGCCATCTATTATTTTTTTAAATTTTTGGAGTCGATAGCGTTGCCAAAGTTTTGACATCGTATATATATTTATAAAAGGTGTCTAAATAAAAAGCAATAAAAAAATTTCGAAAACAAACTCCCTTTTTTGCTTAAAAATACAGGTAAAGCATTATAGATAAACCAGAAGTTAAAGATTCAAATCGGAGCCAATTTTTATTATTTTTTGATAGCCTTTTAGAGATTTTTTTTACCTACAATATGATATATTATATATCTTTTTACTATAAATAGTTCTTGAGATATAAGCTTTTTAAAAATTTTACAGATTCCAAAGTGGCTCTTTTTTGTACCTATGAACCCCTATATCTCGAGAACCATGTGTGCTAGAGAGCTAAAATAAACGGCTTTCTCATTTATTTACCCTTCTAAATAATTCCAAAAATTTTTAACAATTTTAAAAGGGGTCGGTCGAATCGTGATCGATTTGACGTGGAATGGCCCATATATATTCGATTTTAAAAAGTACTCCATCTTGTGGAAATTTTTTAAATGTTTTATTTTCCTATTATATATTACAGTGAAAGGGGGAATATTTTTTACCAGATGTTAAACAAAATAAAATGATAATATTATATTTTTATTTTAATCATACTTAAACATTAATCTATGTTAAAAAAATATTAAATAACTTTTTTAAAAAATGCCGCACTTGTTTGTACAATTAAAAAAAAAATTAATTTTACATAAAAAGCGTATTTACAATATTTTTTAAATATTTTCATATTTAATTTAATTAATTACTTTTTCGATGTTTAATATCTCATAACTTTAATAATTCTCCTCTATTCCCAATTACTTCTTAAATTATTCCTTGCCCATCTCAGATGAGAATGAGATGAAAAATTATCAATCATATTCTAACATTTCCACAGCTACCATTAGTGAAAACATATCATCCTCTCCTCCATTATTTCTAAACCCAAAAGAACATACCGTTGTTGGAACAAAGAAAGGTAATGAAAATTTTAGCTATGCCAGAGGAGAAACAGATCAAGATTAAGGACATAGCGAAATTTGTTAATATGACGAAGCGATTCATAAAATAAAACGGGATACATTCCCAGAAATTATTGGTGATCCCTTAAAAGAATTCATTTTTAAACAAAGAGGGAGAAAAAAAGGACACATCAAAAGACAAATTACTATTTAGAGCTGGGCTATCGTAGACTACCAATTGAACAAAGTAATCTAATTATATAATAAATTACGATTAACTTTTAATATTTTAATCAAATAGGTACTACTTAGCAAGAAATTTGGGATGACTATGAACTATCATTTAAATATTTTATATAATCAATATTCATATTTACGAATATATTTCTTATTATATATTGTTTATATGTAATATATGAATTGAATAAAATATTGAATTAAATTTATATATCAAACATGATAAAATAGAGTGGGAGAAGAATAAAAAAATTTTAAAAAAAAACTATTTTCAGAAATAAAAGATTTTGACTAAGATCTAATAACTAAGATGAAAATCTTATCATTATTTTTAAAATTATTCTACATAAAATATCTTTAACTAAGTAAAAGAAAATATGTGATGACAAAACTTTTTATATTTTTTTATAAAAAATTTTTTTAAGTGTGACATTTAAAAAAGTTTTATAATATTTTTTTAACATAGATTAATGTTTAAGTATGATTAAAATAAAAATATAATCATATCATTTTATTTTGTTTTAACATCTGGTTAAAAATATCCCCCCTTTCACTGTATTATTATGAATGTAGTAACAGATATAAATTTATTATATATACAGAAAAAAATTTATTTTTTAACAAAGTAAATATTTTTATTATATTTTTAAAATGTTTTATAATTATATGCTATTGAAATATAATAAAAAAAATTTCATAAATATTTGAAATATTTAAGATTATAATAAATTAAGGATGCAATGTTCAAAATAGCGATATTTTTAGTGATGCTATTTTTAAAATCGTGGAGCAGTATATGTTAATTAATTAAGTCTATTATACCCGATCATATTAATAAAATTATATTAATTATAGTATTTATTAAGTAATTTTTATTTATTTATATATCGGTTATAATAAATTCATGATTAAAAAGTAAAGAGAATAGGAAAAAAAAATTAGCAGCACCTTCTTTCTTACTGGTTTAGAAATTTGAAGATAATTTATTTATAAATTTATAACTTAATATGTTTTAAAAAATTAAATTATGAGATTTAATTATTATTTTCGGGTAACGGTCACTGCTATCTGTTGGTGTTTGCCGATACTGATTGATACTGTGAGTATCAGTGCATCTTTGATCTCTAATAATTAATATACTTATTCAGTTTATTTTTATACTATTGCTATACATTGTAATATAAAATCATCCATTTCATCCTTTGGGTATAAAATATATTATAAATATAATTTATGAGAGAAATTAGAAAGTGTCTTTCATCTATTAATTTATTAACATCGTCTATATATATATATACATTGTAAATGTTATATAATTCGTAAGAAATATTTAAAATTCAGAGTCCATTATAAATAATATTTAATACCTCATAAAATTAGGTCATTGTCTTAGGTAATAAATAAAGACAAGATTTTTTAAACAACCAAATTTCGGTAATTTCTTTTAAAAGATACTTGATTTTTGGAAAAAAAAATTATTATTTTAAACTTATGATTTAAGCGAACTAATTCAAAACCTATATAATTTTCTTTAAATAAAAATGAAACTTGAAATAATAAAGCGCTCAAATTTCCCGTTGTGTTAAAAAAAATGCATCGTTATTCAGTGTTTATTATGAGATGAATATTGAATACCATATTAATTCTGTAAGTAAAAGTTCGTTTCAAGGGATTTCATATAATTGGTATTCACCATATAACGTACCAGCGGGATTTTCTTAAATTTTTTAACTTTACAAAAACTAAAATGTTTTGTGTATTTGTTAATCTTGTAAAACGCTTGTTTTTTTCCGGGGCAGCTATTTTCTTATCAAATAATTTGAAATTTAAGCCAAAAATATATTAAATACTTAATAAAAATTGTTCATGAAAATTTTTAAAGGTAAATTGCTAAATCATTAAAATTTTCAGTTTACTTTTGACCCTGGTCTTCCTGTTTTCCCTATTTTGCCGGGTAAACCATTTGGTCCAAGCTTTCCGTCATACCCGTCATTTCCATTGTTCCCTGGTTTTCCATCCTTGCCTGGAGGACCTGGTCTACCCTATTATTTACATATATACTATATAAAAAAATATATAAATTTATTTTTACAAAAATTGTAAAAACATTATGAAAATAGGATGCTGCATTATAAAGTGGGTCATATTTAGGTATTCTGTATTTTTAGATAAATATCTTGTTTTTGTTAAAATAGACATGGCTAAACATAAATACCGATTCTAGTCTAGTAGCTTAAAAAAATGAACTCAAATTTTATTTTAATGGATAGAACTATTGATGGTTGGTGCGGTCTTTAATAATCAAATCGGTAACCATTGGTGCGCTGCGTTTTAGACCATAATCATGAATCGGCGCATCGATATATTTTATTATAATGTACATTAAAATTTTTAAGAAAGGCTAATAAAATTATTGATTAAACTTCTTATGAATTTAAATTAATTTTAGAATTGTATTTGTATTGCTATGATGTAAACTATTATTGATAATAAAATAAAAATAATAAATTGAAAATATAAACTTTGTTTTTCTACTCTAAAAAATTATTTCATTAAAATTTTCCGGAATCGTTGAACATACTACGTACAACTTATACGTTAATCCAACTAGAGGGAAAATTCTTTCACAGGTGCACTAGATAGTGGTACACAAAGAGATTTTTTTAGCTATCATGGAAAAACGTGGAAAGGATTTTTCCTTTCCAAAAATTCAGAAATATCTATATCATGCGAATAACACTTTTTGATAAGAATGATATTCTTGTTCCAAAATATACAAAGTGTGATCATTATTTGGATTTGATTTTGAATATTTACTTGCTAACTTTATTGAATAATTTGTAACTGTCCTTTTGGTTTTTAATTTTATTTCCATTTACAAATTGTTTGTTTACTTTTTGAAATCATGGTTCTAATCAAGAAGACTACGCCTAGATAATTTTTAAAAGTTTTTCATAGCAATTAGAATAATAACCAAGCTAATTATTAATTAAATTTAATTATATTATTTAAATAATGGTTTATTAAATGCAAAAAAAATATTAAAAATTGGTGAATTGTCGGCATTATCTTAATAAACGGAAGTTTTCTGCATGTTTAAAATTTAGATAACGAAATACTACAAAAATGATCTAATTGAATCAAAAAGTAAAAAATCAAAGTTATGACTAAACCCTCAATCCTGGTTCTCCCGGTTGTGCATCCCTACCTGGTCTGCCGGCCCAACCAGGCTCACCCGTTCGACCGGAAAATCCCATATTACCGTTTTTACCCATTTTGCCCTGTTCCCCTGGCTTTCCCTAAAATAAATAAACATAATAATTTACATTTTGAATATATTTTTGATTTAAAGTGAAAATAAATATAAATGTATACTTAAATGCCTATAATATTTGATAATATTACTCATATAAATAGTCCTATCGATATAGCTTGGGATTTTAATGTTAATTTTCAGATTAAAATTTTTATTTTAACGAATATGATTACATCTTAATTTGTTTTTTAAATGAACACATTTATTAAGGATAAATTATGTGAGGTTAAAAATTTAAAATATATTGAAATCGAATGATATTATGCTTATAAAAATTTGATTTGGTATTAGTATTTTTAACTAAAAATATCGAGTAGAACTATTATTCTAAGTGAAAATATTATAATAAATGTATATACCTGTTCAGAAATATTAATACCATCTTCCCCATCTTTTCCGGGTGATCCATCATTGCCTCTTGAACCTGAAACGCCCGGTTTTCCATCTCTTCCAGGTATTCCTGGTATACCTGGAGGTCCGGGAAAACCCTAAAAATTATAAAGTAAAGTTAATTAGTCATAGATTTTTATTATTTTTTGAGTAGTATACATAAATATGTCATGATTTATAAATATATCAATTCAATTCATTGTCATAAAAGAATTAAGTGTATAAAACATATCAGGTAATTATTTGAAGGAAACGTGATAATTTCATAAATCTTTGAAAAAGGATGCCCCAAATTAATCAATTTTCTTTAATTTATGATTATATAATTTTTTGAAACTCAAATGAATAAATATATAGCTGATAATTATTTATATATAAAGGTATATTTTTTAAAATCTATTAAAATGATTCGGACCTACTGGGGTTTATTATTTTTAATAATCATTAAATTATATTCATAAGAATATTATTTGCGGGTTATTGTGATAACAAAATGGTGGATAAATAGTCTTTTAAAACTTAAAAAGATCTGTTTGAAATTAAAATGAGCAATTATAATATCCTAATAATATATTGTTATAGCTTAAACTAGAGCTATGCAAATTTTAAGAACATCAGACCGGCTTAAAAATTTTATTATATAGATCGAGCATCTGAAAATATAAATAAACGCATTACTATGAAGTTAAATGAAAACAATAATCACTCAGTTTTTGTCAAAGAGAAATTCTAATTATCATTTAAAGAAAAAGAAACATTATTTTATATTTTATTAAAATATTTTCCGCGCCTAACCCAAATTTAAATAATTATATAGTTTTCTTAAATTTTTAGGCCTAACCCCAGACAGGGCTTCGGGAGTGCTTTGCAATGCTTTAGTTAACTTACCTATGATTATTTATTCAGTGATTCAATTAGCTCTTATTAAATAGCAAACCTGTTTTAATATTGTTTTTAGCTTCGGCCCATATAATTTTTTTTTACCAGTATTTAAAAAAAGTAATTTTATATTATTCTATAAGTTTAAAAAAATAATTAAATTCTGGATTGGCCCATAAAAGTATCTTGCATAAATTACCCAACTCGGCCCGAATTTTGTACACGTCCAGAATGGTTTGGATTTTTTTTAACCCGGCCTCTATGCCATGCAGATCTCTAGCTCTTATTATGTCTTGCAAAAAAGTCCTATATATTTTTCTTAGTCACATAAAATGGTCTTTTTATGAAACATAGGAGATTTTTTTTAAAAACATAGTGTTTTTGACCAAAAAAATGATATATACTTAGATTATATTTAGACAAGTATCCGCAGTGACGGCAATGCATTTATTAGTATCTATCAGAGTTGTTAAAAGCGCGCTAACTTTTTTGGTAGCTATAGCTAATAGCGGCTACTTTTTTTGAAAGTAGCTAAGTAGCCGCTACTTCGCTACTTTTAAAAAATATAATAAAGGTAAGTAACATGAAAATTTAAATATAATTTTATAATTAATTATAATTTTTATGATTTATTATTTAATTTTGAAATTAAAATATAATTTCAATTTGTAATTTATATTTTCATTTATATAATAAACCTAAATCACGTGTTAATAATAAAAAATGTCATCGCCTATGGATATCCAAATCGTTGAAAGTGATTCAGACAATAATATTAATGAAATGGAAGATACCAGGGAAGAAAATGTTGTTAAGAGCTAATTTCCCATTCCTTAGATTTGAAAATTTTTTAAAATAAATATATACAAAACTGGCTTCAAATTTATTTGTTTAAAATGTTAAAAAAAAAATTCCTCAAGTCAATCCAGTAGCTATAACCTCAAGAAACACTTAATGGTAAATTGTCGTTTTTACATTCTAATAATATTTATTTTATAAGACTGTTCGTGAGTTTTAAGGAAATGGAGAAACATCTAAATAATTTTGGTATAGGCGACTCTACATCCAAAAATACTAATACAATTCAAACCAAATTAATTAATAATGCAAATGACAATATTTCTCAGAAATTGGCTGCTAAAGTTATTGTTATTTTATCATTTATACAGTACAGCCAATGTCCATGGTTGATAATCCATCATTTACCATGATGATTAAAACTCTATCCCCTGGTACAACAATTTTATGCCGCCAGACACTAATGAATAAAATAGCAGATAACTTTAAAATGATGAAAGATGCTTTAATAGTAGAGTTATCAGAGATATCATACACGGCAGATAGTTGGACACATAACAGAAGGTAAAAACTTATTTATATTTATAAATTGATCTGATTAAATTTTTTGAGCTTATTTGGGAATCATAGGCCATTGGCTAGACCCTAGGACTTTAAAAAGAAGATCTATGGCATTAGCCCTCAAAATAATAATAGGATGCTAGACATACGATGTACTTGAATATATAATTATTGATAATCTATCTTATATTAAAAATATGTATATAAGATTAAATACGCCTTACCATCAAGTGCTAGTGTTGAGAGTTAGTAAGGCTAAACTTATACTTTCTGATCGTCGCTCTAGACTTGGGGATGATAATATTGAAATGATTTTATAATTAAAATGCAACAAATTACCATAAATATTTATTTTTATTACATAAATTTTTTTATAATCAAAACTAACTATATTTTAATATTAATAAATGTTGATTTTTATATATTTACTAAAAAATAAAAAATTTGTTTGTAAATTTTTTTTTATAAAAAGTAGCTAAAGCTACTTTAAAAAAAAATAGTAGCTAATAGCGAGCTACTTTTTTTGACAAATAGCGATATCGGTAGCGCTCTACTTTTTTTAACAAATAGCGATAGCGGTAGCGCGCTACTTTTAAAAGTAGCGTTTAACAACTCTGGTATCTATGAAATATATCTATTGACTTCATTTTTTACTAAAATTTTTACTCACGTGATAAATTTAATAATATTATGATATTTTATAATATACTTGTAAGAACCCTTCATTTAGATTCTAGATAAATATAATAACCCTATCCCTTATCAAGCCTTTTATTATTTAGGCAGTGAAATCTGAAAATTAATTTTTGTAATAATGAATATTAACTACTATGAATCAAACCCTATCCCATATAAATTACTAGCCTAATGTCATAAAAATATTTTGAAAATAGAAAAAAATATGGGGAAAAAATTAATGTTCATTTTTAATTTATTACCACCGAAAAATTTAATTTTTACTAAATTGTGTATATTATACTTACCATTTTTCCATGTAATCCAGAGGCACCTAGCTTACCATCATTACCTACACTTCCATCTTTTCCATTAAATCCGAGGGCACCATTTCTACCTGGTAAGCCATCTTCACCTTTAGGTCCAATTGGACCTTTGTACCCCATTTTGCAAACTTTGCACACAACTTTTAATAGATTTGATAATAAATTTGAAGCATTTTATATTTATTTAATCAATTTAGCAAATATATATTTTTTATATTCCTTATATAATAAAAATATGATCTGAACACTTTACTAAGTTTAGATTTTTTTCAGATATAGTAACAACTTAAATTGCCTCTCACTACAAATTTTTAAATCTTCTTATTTTAATCAAATGTTTACTTTAGATCTTCTTACAATGAGGTATATAATTTTATGTAGGATTTCTAAAAAAAGGAGAAAAATGCATTTTTAGATAGATTGAGACAAAAATTCGGAATAAATGATTTTTATTTATAATTTCTTTAGTTGAAATCTGAGTGAGATCATGAGAAAATGAAATTGACGAGAAGCATAAATAGTGGGTGGATTTCTTTTTTTAAGTTGTTAATTTTTGTTTTTCTCTTCTATTAAGTTTTTAATTTTTGTATTTCTCTTCTTTGATTGTATTCAAAGTTTTTCTAAAATTCTTTTCTCTTTATCTCCTAACTTTATAGTGTAGAATAAGTATGAGTACACGGGCATAACTTGAGACATAGAATAAATATAATAAATAGATTAACATGGATTAGTAAAAAATTTCACTGACCAGAGCATCAAAGATAAAATATATATTAAATTAACTAATAACTCTTTCTCAAAATTTGCATATTTTTAAATCTTCGAATAATTATTTTATAAAAATCTATTCTCCAATCTATAATGCACAGTATTATGAAAATCTGCTCTTCATAAAGACATAAATGTCCTCTTAATATACCCCCCCCCCCCACATCATTCGAATATTTAAATAACATTTTTTAAAAAAAAATATTAACAGATCGAAAGATAAAATCATTTTTAAAAAATTAACAGATCATAAATATAAAATAATATTAAAAAAACTTAATCTTATTTTACCAAATACTATATAGTAAACTAGCAGCCTGAGCGGGCTACAAAATAATTAATAAAAAGGCCTGATCTGTGGCCTTAAAAATTTTAATATTACATTTGCTTCCATTTCTCCTTTTTTGTCTGGTTGATTATCTCAATTATAAAATGAATTTTAAAAAATTAAAAAAGTTTTAAAAACAGGAGGTAATATTTTTATTCATTTTCTTACCATATTTTTATAATAAATGAAATAAAATAGATTAAAAAGTTATTTTAGAATATTTAAATTTAATGAATAACATTATAATGAATAAGTAAATACTTTGATTATGAGATTATCTCCCTATATATTTTTTTAAAAATTAGTTCTGCAAATATTTTTACCACAAGGCGGCTGGCGGGTTCGGGCCAAAATAGATGGTCTCTAGTATGTATAAACTTGTTTTTGTAAAATTTTTATAAGCTCTTTCTCCAAGAACCTTTTTTAATAGATTAAGAATAAAAATTTATCACTCGTTTTATCATTAAAACTAGACTTTTTATTTGCATCTTTAACATTTTACACGAGTTACTTAAAGCTATCAAACTATATGTTCAATCCAATCATTTTCCCTACCGGACATTTTTCTCTTTTAATAAATTATCAAAATTTCTAAGTAATAAAATCATGAATGTTTAAATAAATGGAGAGAATTTCTTTATCTTATTCCAAAAATGAATTTAGAAGCCTTCAAATATAATCATAGCTCCTTTTGGGAAGCCCCTAAAAATTGATATAATTATATATTTTTTATAGTTATTTAAAAAAATAGAACGAAATTGATTGACGTCTATGTTAAAAGATACAACAAAAATTAAGTCAGTTTTACTCAGAAAAAGAATCCAACTAGGACATCGTCGTTTTAATTTAATTGCATAGTATTAAATTTATAAGTGGAATGAATTCAATAAATCTCAAATACTAAAAAACTAAATTATTTACGTCCTGATTTATAATTGTAAGGACTAACAGGACGCCCATATGTATCTCTTTTTCCTATGGAATGTGTATCTTGTGTCTTTGTTTCAGAAAGTTTTGTCACAACCGAAGATTCTTGTTGAATAGATTCGATATTCGTGCTAAATTTTTGACTATCGCTCAATTGTTTCTAAAAAATAAATATATTTGAATTAGAGAATCAACAACATATTCAGGGCCTTAGCTAAAAGGGGAGGAGGGTCGGGCTCACCAAAAAATAATTTTGGTTCCCAAGCCTGGCCCTCAGAAAAAATCTTTAGCCCCTAAAAATGGCCCCCAAAAATATGGCCCCCAAACCTGACATTCTTCTGGACTATTTATGGCAATGTTTTAAACCATCCAAAAAGATTCTGAATTAAATAAAATTATAAAATTAATACTCAAAAACTTCAAATATGCATCACCCCAGATTCAAAACGAAATAATGTCTATTATGACAAATATGGTGCTTGAAATATCTCAGATAAATATAACAAAAGTGAGTGCTTTTTTTTGTCTTAAGGCTGATGAGACAAATAATACATCAGATTGTGAAAACCAGAGCCTACTTATTCGCTATATTTTTTCTGTAGAAATCCAACAAAATTTAATAAGAATTATTAATTTACAGTGTCTTTCTACTGAAAGCATTACTGATTGCATTTTAAACAACTTAATGAGTTAAATATTATATCAACGAATATAATAAAGCCAGGCATATGCTGGGGCAAACGTCATGTCTTGTCTGATCGAAATGGAGGAGTGCAAATCTTACTTCAAAAAAAAATGATAAAAAAGTTCCTTTTATACATTGCTAAAATCACAAATTGCATCTTGTGGTTCAAAATGAGAGAATAATATTGTTACCATTTTAATTTTTTTAATTTATCTAATTCATTGTATAATGACATTTTAATGTATCCTCTAAATATACAGGTCATACTCTTAATACACTTTTAACCCAAAGGTGGGCTGGTCATTTAGAACATCTTGCATCATTTATGAGAATTTTGAGGCTATTGGTGAAGTATTATTTTATTTTTATAGAACTCTCAACTCAGAGATTTCTACTCATGATTCAGTCAAAGCCTCTGGTCTTTTATCTCATTACGTTAATATAAATTACGTTAACCTACTAAATAAGTGTCTACAGTCAGTAGATACTAATCTAGTGGATTGTAAAAACTGTATTGATTCCACGATAAATAAAAATAAGAGAAGCGATAATTCTTTTGATTTGATTAGAATTATGGCAGAAAAACTTTTAACAAAATTTAATCTCATCCCCAAAAAATCATCATGGGTAGCTAAAACGTCTGCAAATTTTCAAGATTTTATAATCGAGACCAAATTACAATTATGAAATTATTGATTAATTTGTTGTTCGCTCTTTAGATAGATTTGCACAAGATGATTATAATCTTCCATCATGTTTTAATACATTGTCCCTCCCTTGACCTTGATTATTTTATATCAGATAAAATGGTCCCATTAGAATCATTATCAAACTTGAAACGTTATATCATGAAATGAAAATAGTAAAAGGATTATTAGCTGCAGAAGTTGAAGAAACACATAATTTTGAAAATATTCTAAATATTTTTTATAAAAAAAAATATCATCTTGCATTTAAAGAATTGTATAAATGTTATTCAGCAGCCATCATCATTGGGGTATCAACGGCTTCTTGCGAGGCCTCATTCTTTATAATAAAGAGTTCTATTGAGTACTAGAGAATCAATGAAAGATCAACGTAAACAAAATTTAGTATTAATGGCTTATGAAAAAAGAATAACAGGGATTTATCTATTTATTAAAAATTTATAAATAAAAATCGTCGTATTATATTATAGTATTATTTTATTCATATTAGAGGTCCGCAATGGGCAGGTTTTTAGCCTACAAGCCCGCCCGTCAAATATTTTTATAAAAATTTAACCCGCCCGCACAACCCACCTATAGTTTTTAAAAAAATATATCCGCCAGCCCGCCCATGAGTCTAAAATCTACTCGCCCGCCCATTAGTCTAAAAATTTTTACGTGTCTGCCAATTATATAAAAAATATTTCTAACCCATGCTGCCCATAAAATTTAAATTAACTCATTCTTACAATTTTTAAAATAACTAATTTTAAAAAATGATTCAGTTTCAGCCCTACACCCCTACAAAAAAGTTTTATGAGATCTATATTAAGCAAAAAAATATTTAATTGAAATTACGGATAAGGAATTTATTTGATTTAATAAAAAAATATTTATGTAAAAAATATAAATATATAAAATTAATATTTATTGATATTATTTCTAATTATAATTCAAAAATAATAATGAATCCACATTTTCTGGAAATGAAGCCTTTAATAATAAATAAAAAAAAGAAATTTAAATTAATTGTTTATAAATGGTAAACTTAAACTAAATTTAGCCTAAAATCTTACTAAATTATACAAAAACTCGCTACTTTAAGATTAAAATATGTTGTTATGTCATTATGTCATTATGTAAGGTGCTCTCCTCTGTAACAGACACATCCTTCCATCTTTTGTTGTTCAATTTTCAAGTGGATACTATCTATTTCAAACATTGCATTTATATTTAAATACCTTTAATTTAATTCACTTTGCTTTTGGAGAATCGGGTAAAATCAGATTTTCATCCACGGTGATGTTATATTTGTTATAGCCGTTGAAAAAAAGAAGAAATAAATTTAATATAATATATCAAATGTCAGTTATTTTCTGACAGGAGGATTAGTGTTTCCTAGTGGATGGGAGAAAAACGAAATGATCACATGGGTTTTTTTGTAAAGAACAATAAAAGTTTCTTTGTGTGCGGTTTGGAGTGAAGAAGACATTATATTGGATGAAGACGGGATTGATCGGGAAGAATTAGCAATTTATTATCGTTTATGATACTTAGATATTTTTTTTAGATTTTTGTATGAATAAATTGGATTTAGATATTTGTATGAATAAATTGGATTTTTAGAGTATATGGGAAATTGGACTATTTCTATGGATTGTTTTGGATTGATAAGTTATATTTTTAGAGGGAAGGATTGAGAGTAAGGGGCATTCGTCTAAATTGTTGCCAGCTGACCAGGATCGGAAGAGTTGAAGTGATTCGGTTTTAAAGGTAAAACAAAATTTTTGTGATATATCTATATTATATGATAAATTTTGACAACGCATATGTACTAACCACTATACAGGGGTAAGTGAGATTAAGAGTGAGTTTAAGGGATAATATAATTTTGTTTAAATGTATAGCTTATAAAGCCCAAGATAGAAAGTATGTAAGGCCGGAATATGAAAATAAGATCAGGAATTTAAGACAATAATATTGGTTATAATATATGTCTAGTTGTATATTGTACATCCAATTTTGACAGTAGGTATGGTCTTATTATTTAGTAGGTCTTAAGACTCATTGAATGGTGTTATAGGTATTCCGTAGGAAGATTAGACCTCAAGATATGCAGGACAGAAAGAATTGCTAAATATGGGAATTTATGAAAGTATATATATAAAAGTGGATTGTTGTAATAAAGTAATTGTTATATAATTATGCATTTTGGGTTTTTAAAGGGATGGACATGTGGGGGATAGTTTTATTATTAATTAATGCTACTATAATATGTAATTCAGTTTCAATTAAGGTTTATATATTATTAAGGATCTATTGAGGGTGAGTTAATGTTATTTATTTTAGAGTAATTAACCATTTTATGAAATATGGTGTAATGTGAATTACACATATGATATATTTAATTATGAATGATAAATTAAAGGAATTGAGGTATGATGAAGTTAGAATAATATCTATAGTGTTATATGTGGATAGTTATTTTGATTTAATGTCTGCACTTGATATATATATAAATTTGGTATGGATTTATATGATATATTGGGTGATATGTAATATTTTTTTTAAAATTGAAATCTTTATATTTAATATATATATTTTTTTTTAAATTATGAAATCTTTATATTTAATATACATATTTTTTTTTAAAGTATAAAATTTTATAATAAGTTTTATTTGCATTTATTATATTATTTTTATGGTATGCAATGATCTGAAGGGAAAATATTTTTACAGATAAGGTCAGCCCGTGTTGATAGGTATGCCTTGAGGTGGGAATACCGTTTAGTGTGCATACTTGAGAAAGTTTTTTTGTAAATTGTTTTTTTTTGTGTAAATTTATTTTGCATACTACATTTTTTTTTATCTTTGTAATAATTTTATAGCACATCACATTTTACTATTTATATTATGAATATGTTTTTTTTTAAAAGGAAAAAGAACAAACTCAGATTATTTTATATTGTGAATGTTATATTAAGAATCCTCTACATATATACCATATAGCCCATTATATTTTCAATTTTTGTTACTTTGCATTCTACATTTCTGTGAATTTGTGCTAATTGTGATGGCAGAGTTAGGTAGAAATGGTATATTTTTCTTAGGATACTGAGTAATTCCTAGATGGAAAATATTGTATTTTCTACATATTATATATTTTTCCTCCCTATAAAATATTAAATTTATTTCTATATATATGTCTTGTAATTTTGTTAAAATCTTTGTTCGGAAATTTTTCGCAATTATTTTAATACCTAAAAATGGATTTTCATATCTATTTTAGGAGATAATTAAAAAAAATGTAGCTTTGTTTTTTTTTCATGATAGAAGGAAGATTACATGTGGTTGAAATTGCATTTCACACATAAACCATTGGTTTACATTACAGTATTATATGTAAAATCAGTATTTCCTCATTCTCATTAATCAAACCCCGAATAATGTATATTATAAGTCCTATTTCCCAAATGTCTTAAAATGAATGAATTATTACGTTTTGCTGATATTACATTGTTAATATTAATGTTCCATAGATTATAAATATGGATACCACGATGTAAATGTCATTATTATAACATTTTTTCCAGTGATTATATATTGAAATGTACCGGAGATATTATATTATAAATCATCATAAAAGGAGACGATTCAATAAACCTGAACGTTTTCAAGGCGTACCGATACAATTCAAAGGGACGATTCATACAATACCACCAGAAAGAGAGGGACGCTGGGCTTGTGTGGGCATGTTGTAGCCGTTGAAAAAAAAAGAAATAAATATAATATAATATATCAAATGTCAGTTATTTTCTGACAGGGGGATTAGTGTTTCCTGGTGGATGGGAGAAAAACGAAATGATCACATGGATTTTTGTGGTAAAGAACAATAAAAGTTTCTTTGTGTGCGGTTTGGAGTGAAGAAGACATTATATTAGATGAAGACGGGATTGATCTGGAAGATTTAGCAATTTAATGATTATCGTTTATGATACTTAGATATTTTTTTTAGATTTTTGTATGAATAAATTGGATTTAGATATTTGTATGAATAAATCGGATTTTTAGACTATATGGGAACTTGGACTATTTCTAGTTGGATTGTTTTGGATTGATAAGTTATATTTTTAGAGGGAAGGATTGAGAGTAAGGGGCATTCGTTATAATATTCTTCTATGAAAATACATGTTTATATCAATAAATCCTCAGATATGGATTGGTATAAAAAATGTTGAAATTTCAAGGAGCATTTTTTTTAGTATTTACATAAATAATATTAAGTAACAAAAAATTTTTAACCCTCCCACCCGTCCGCCCATAGTTTAAATTCTTTTTAACCCACCCGCCCTTTAAAAAAATTTAACCTGCTCGCCTACCCGCTTAGATGGAGGGAGTGGTGGGGCGGGCTAAAAACCCACCCAATGCAGACCTCTAATTTATATTACATTTACTAATTTTTAATAAAAATAGCAAAAAAAATATATGAATGCTTTATTTATTTTGAAAAAATAGTGGCCCTCACAAGTAAGCAGCTGCCCACCCCCCCCCCCCCCCCCACAGCTGGAACATATTCCTTAATTTAAGAGATAATTCTATAATCTAAAAATAGGGAGCATGCGATTTTTAAAGCTTATTACTAGTTGCATAAAGTTTATAATTTAAATAACTGTAATTATGATTTTTTAAAAAAAATAGATAATAGCAATTGATTTTCTCATTGACTAATATGTTCGCTTAACTCTGCGAATTCTAGTTGGAGAGTATGAGCATGGAGGGTAAGAGCGTTTCAATAATAATTTCCATGTGCAATTTGCAAATTACTCTTGAAACGCTTATTCTCTTTCATAAGCTCAATCATTCCAATTAAAAAGCGTTATAAAAGGAAATAAAAAAAATATTTTTAAAGGTAAATTTAAAAAAATAATATTAGGACAAATTGTCTTGCACGTACATAATATATGTTCTTGTATTTGTTTTATATCACATTCCTAACTATTTTTTAAAATACTAATTTCAAAGGTGTCAAATTTTGAAAAATTAGCTTTGTATTATATACAAAACAGTGTCTGAATAATAAAATAGATGTATTATAAACCAGACACACTATTTAAAGTGGTCAGTATGTATTTAATTTCAGAATTATGACAAATTATTTAATAAATAATACCTGTTTATAAATATTCTTATTTTGATTAGAAAAATTATCTAAATCATGAATAAATTGGAATTTCATAAAATTTAATATAAAACGTTGTTCTACCTCAAAGAATAATTTTACCCTATCTTGGATTTTAGTTTACAACCAATATTTAAAAGAATTTAAAAAATCATTTGTGTTAGCAATTGCAAAAAAATGAGATAACGAATGTCGAAAGAGGTTTAATGAAAGAATTTGGTTTGAATTTGAATGTAACTAAAACAGTAAAGTTATATACGCTATAATTCCTTTTTTTACTTATTAGAAATTAATTATAGAAAAATGGACAGGAAAAGGTATGAAGGGTGGTAACCCTGTAGCAGATTGTTGAGAGATACTTTTCAAATTATATACACATAGAATATGGCCTAAAACCATCGATATATCAAATGTATCTTGAAAACATTTTTTTATTATAAAAATAATAAAAGTTGTTTAAGTGCATAATATTCAAAATGAGGAATCTATTGTAAAAACCCAAATTTCTAAAAATGTTATGAATAAAATAGTATCTAGTTTGATATTTTATTTATATATAAAATAAAATATATAACTAATTATATTTTTAAATATATTTAAAAATTTTAAAAAATGATTTAAAGAATAGAAATGTCGTTGGCTTTAGATTAGCTTATATTTCGTTACATAAATATTCTTTCGCTCTTAGTCAATGCATTGGATTTATCAATAATATAAGTAAAATGTAAAAAATTTATATATCCATAATTCATTCTATTTTTTGTGGGATTTGCTCGTCAATCATTATGTAAAATAAAATTTGTCTTGTATGTTTTTGTAAAAAATAAGCCCCGACAGATATATATTTCATAATATTAATACAAAAAATAGTGTTAAGTATTTGTAATATAGTAAGAAACGTTAAATAAAATTGTAACAAAAATGCATTGAATCGATACACCAACGGATTAATTGATAATAGGCCTAGCAGGTATCTGATAAGTATAAACATTTTTGAATGATTATATTCGAAAAAAAATGATTTAGACCAAAGATTATTTTTATATTAAAAATATTTTGTTTCTATTTTTCGTTAAAGCTAATAAATTTAATTAATTATTATTTTGTTATTTAAGCCACAACCTAAAAACATTAATTTTTTTAGTAAACCTATTTGTGTTAACTTTTTTTGGTATAATGTTTTTTAAAATTAGACATCCTTAAACAATATGTTATCCTAGTTAAATTTGTCATTTTATTGTAAAAGTCAATGTGGAAAGCAAAAACCTTAGTTTATTATGGACTTATCTTATTTAAATAGTAATCTTCAAAAAAAAAACAATTTTCTAACCTTTTTTGAATTAAAAATAAACTCGTTCTGCTACAAAATTTGAATGTGCACTTTCAATATAAAAACAAACATAATAACTACGCTAACGAAATTTAGTTTATGTAAGAAATCAAGAGTCGATTCATATACATACAATATTCAATTATCGTTTCGTTATTTTTATTCTACCAATATTATCAGTGCTGTAGCCAAGATTTTCTCATAAGAAAAGGGCGGGGGGGGGGGGAAGGGGTTTAAAAAAATTTGAGGGCGAAGCCCTCCAAAATTCCCATTTTTTATGAAACTCAATTGCTAATATCTTAATCTATGGTAAAAATATTTTAAATATTTGCATATAACAAAATTTTAGAGAGTTTTCATTATAGATTTTATTTATTTACATTGATTAAAAATAGTATTAATTGTATAAAATTGAAGAGTTAATACAAAAATTATATAAATGTTATAACTATTCATTTTATGAAAAAATTTGATTATAAATATTATATATTAAAACTAATAATCATATTGCAATTTTTTGCTTTGAAGTATTAAAGAGAGGTCTACTTTTCTCTGAGATTTTGCTAATTCATCTAGGATCAAATTTCTATCTAGAATAATCTCCTTATAATTTAATAGGGCTAATCCATTTAAATGTTTTTCACCAGTGGTATTTCCTAAATAGGTTTTTAACCTTTTTAAGATTGAAAAAGACTATTTATTAGTGCAGGTATACTAATTGGTAAGGTACCTAAAATAATTAATAATGTTTTGATATTAAACAGGGAATCTAAAGGTCAATTACACATGGAAAGGGCCTTCAGAGCATTTTTTGGTCTCAAAGAATACTCCATCCTGTCAAGATTTTTATGCCAAAATACGACATCACAAAGTAACGTATCATTTGCCTACTAAATCATTCCAAGATTTTCTTAATATTCTCTCGTGTTTCAAGTGTAATCAACATAGACTCAACCGGCATAAGAAAATAAAATAAATTAAAAGTAGATAAATTATATTTAAAAATAAATTTAATATTAATGAGAGTTTTTAAATCTATACTGATTATTAACCTGGATATCTTGTATCTGAATGGCAATATACTCCATGGTCCTTTGTTTTTGTTCCATTTTTTGTTTTAATACCTTTAAAACGTTTCGATGTCGAGTGGCTATCCCATCTAAATGGTAATAAAATATGGGAATCAGGGAGACACATATAAGGCCTGATATTAATAGGCTGATAATTGCTATGTTATTGACTAATAACTTAGTAAAATTTTGTTCAAATAAGCTTTCAACTTTGAACTTAAAGCACCAGTAGTGATGTTTATATATTTTTGTAGATTTTTTATTTGGTGATTTAATGTTATTAGGGTGATGGTTTTTTTCGATGTCCATTAAAGTTTTAATATAAATATGATCATTTTTGCGGTTAATTGAGGAAAATCTCAAAGATCCATCATAATTATCATTTGGAATCATTGAATTATTGGAATCGTACATTTGATTTTTGAACTAAAATTATAAAGATTTCAATATCATAAACATAACATTTCTTATAATTTTTTAGATAATCTTATCGAGTTGGTGAAAAATAGTTTTCTTTTAATATTTTTTTAAGAGATCAATCTAGTAGACTCTATATGTTTGGTTCATCAATTATAATATATATTTACCTTATATATTCATTATAATTTTATAATAATATTAAACAAAATTCAACTATTTATAATTATTTAGAGGATAAAAAGTAAAAAAAAATTGTTTTCGATTGACCCAATTTATAACAATGTAAAAAATTATTAAAATAATATCACGGTAAAATGGACATTTGATTTGTGATAATGCAATGTTTTTTATATATTAAATAATATTTTTAAGTTTATACATATCGGTATAACTAAAGTAAATTATAGTTGAAATTCTCGCGGTAAAAATTAAAACTAAAAATATTTTTTTATATAAGGTACCAATTATATCATTGTAAGGTACAAAAAAAATACTAAAGCTTTTCATAACGGAATCTAATATATATTTTTTTATAAAAATCCTTATATTCATGGGAGAAATTTTATATTTATTTCTAAATATTTAAGTGGGTGGCAGGAGCGAGATTCACCTAAAAATAAGAAATATCTACTCTTATACAATTTGTCATAGGTGGGTGGCATTCAATTATCCCGTTTCTATATTTTATATACTTAACTCTAATTAATAAGTTTACAATAAATAATTTACATATTTCATTAAACAATTTCAAATTATAATATTTTCAAATTCAATCAATAGCGTATTCAGAATTTTATTTAGGAATTTAAACATCTGGGAGGTTCTGTCCTCCACACCCCCCGTCTATTACTGGTCGGCACCCTGTTTGTCTAATTATAGTTGTTTGGAAATTTATATCATATAACCCGTCTAATATAGGGCCTTTATAATTTGGGCAACTCCCTAATTTAACAAAATTTTGACTCCCAATTAGTGTTAGCAAACGTTAACTCAATATTTTACCTAGAACAATATTACGCAAGCCTAAAATTTTGACCGTAGATGGCACAAATAGATATCCAAATCTCGAGGTTTAGGCTATATTTTTCTGGTTAAAATATTGAGTTCACAGTTTATAAAAACTGGCTCAAATGAGCTGTTTAACAACACTAGTCCCAATCAAATTCCTATTAGTATTAGGGACAACTGTTTACTATGAAAAGTGGGCAGATTTTCATTTTTTTCCTATTTGCCTAAGACCTCGGAACATTTGTTATTGTTTGTCGCATTCATTCACTCACAAATTTAATAATCTTTTTGTAACTATTTATACCAAATAAGAAAATTAATAAAGAAAACAAATGAAACTAGTTATCATTATATAAAATTTAGGTTATTAAATTTCTAAATCAACATATTCAAAAAGAATGTGCTAAAAGATTTTATTTCTTAAAGAATTGTTCACAATGTTCATAGGCATTATCAAAAAAATGCAAAACATATTTTAACAAATAGATAACAAAGATAGATATTTTGTATAAAACCATTTTCATATTTTATAAAAATTTAAGTATAAATTCATAATTTTAATCATGATATTGATGTATTAATAAAAATAAAAAAATTATTTGATAATAGTTGAACATTATCTCATTTTTTGCTAAACTAAGAATATATTTTTTTTAAAAAGTAAAAGTCTTGATAAATTGGTCAAACTGTCTACGTTAGGTTAAAATCACACTCAAAGTAGTCCAAATCAGGCTCGACTGTGCTTGTTTTGCGTTTACTTCGACTTAATAAAATTTTGATGCCTAAATAAATTTAATATCACTCACACTTGGGTAGGTTAAGTTAGCTTTTGAATAGTTTGTCTCATTACATAATTGGTCGGGGATTTTTAGTTATAATAAGGTCCTAAATGTAAAGGAACTCGGGGTACGTTGGAGACAGGCGTGTTAGTCTACTCTAATTTATTACTAAGCTTTCATCGCATAAAAGTGGGAATTAATACTTATTATAGCTAATTATGCTATACATAATTTACTAATAATATTATAGAAATATTTTTTTTTTTACTATTTACAAATGTAAATAAGTTTTAAACATATCATAAATAACAAAAAATAAATGAAAATTTTATCGTTTAGATTTATAAATTACTTTAAGCGTTAAATAATTTTAGGAAACGCAAACCTTAATTTTAATCTGACAACTTTTCAGAAAAACACGAATTAGTAATAAAATTATAGGGATGTTTTTAATTATACTTTATTTAAATTAAACCAAATAGTTGCAAATAAATAATTATCTATCGAAAATATTAATTTTTATAATAGTAATACTGGTTTTTAAAGATAAAAAAAACTTTCTTTTCTTGTTCTTGAGAAAGTATTTTCAGCTTTAAAGTGTAATAAAACATATACCTCTAACTATGGGATAGGAACGTTTGAACTAGTGTAAAGAATATAAGCGTAAAAGATTTAGCACTCATTATACTCGTTTTTTAATAAAATTATCAATTTTTAAATATATTTTTGGCAGTAGCTGTAGTGTTGTTAATTGGTTGGTTGTGTAAAACGACCCGGGGTTTGGGTCTAAAAAATAGACCAAATCAGTTTTGAGCACCAACCCCGAGCACAGACCCGGGGTTCAGACACGGGTCGTGTTACGATTTAATAAACATGTTGATTAAATTAAAAATAAAACCCATTGTTGAGATAAAAATTTTTTTTTTGTAAAAATAAATTCCATTTGCGCAAATGTTTAAAATCAGAAAATCAACATTAAAGTTTAAAATAAAATATAGGAAAAAGTTATTGATCAATTTTTTCAATAACTTTGGCAAAAATTAATATTTTTGTATCTAGTTTTTATTTATATATATATTGGGAATAAATAAGTTATTATCCACTTCTTGATCTAATATATATTGTGAATAACTAAGTAATTATCCACTTCTAATTCAAAAATTTTGAAAATGTCGATGGAGCACTCCAATTCTAGACCGACGAGATATAAAATCTTCAATTTACACTTTTTATAAAAAAATCAACATAAATCAACATAATTTTATTTTTAAAATGATTATTTTCTTAAAAAAAATTATCTAAGTAAATAACTAAAAAATAATAATTAATAAACAACTTCATAAATATAAAAAAACGCATCATGTGACTTTGCTATTTTTCATCACAAATTATAAATTTACAACATAATTTCTTTTTATTATTTATACATACATGACGTAACACTTCACTAGATAATTATATAATATTAATTATGGGTTACTGCCACTCTCGGGGGGTATATTATTTTTTTTTTATTTTTGTTATTTTTTTATGTTATTTTTTTATCATATTTTTTTGATATTTTTTTTATCAATTTTTTATTTTTGCCTACAAATTTAAATATTTTTGTAGTAAAATATAGGAATTATTAATTCCGCATATTTAAGTTATATTTAGGAGAATTTTGCCTATAAATTTAATTTTTTTTTGTGGTAAAATATTTAAGTTATTTTTAGGAGAATTTTGCCTACAAATTTAATTTTTTTGTGGTAAAATATTTAAATTATTTTTAGGAGTATTTTGCCTACAAATTTAATTTTTTCTTGTTGTAAAATATAGAAATTATTAATTCCGCATATTTCAGTTATTTTTAAGAGAATTTTGCCTACAAATTTAATTTTTATTTAAGATATTTAAAAAAGTTTTTTCTACAAATTTGTATTTAAGATATTTGATACCACACTGCGTGTGGTTAAAGATAATGTAATGCATGATTTGACGATAATGACTGACTCGTGGTTAGGGTATGCAAATATATTTTTCCTTATAAATCAAATGTGGTAATAATTTTAAATCTATTTATCTTAGATATAATAGGCTAGAACAAGCCAATTATTTTCATTATCGGGTCAATCATTCGCGAAATTTTGTTGATCCTAATGACAGATCCATCGACACCCAAAAAGTCGAAAGGCTGTGGTGGGACCTAAAAGCAAACTACAAAAGACATGGGGATCGCAATAATATTCATGAATATCTTCTTGAATATAGATATTTTAGAAAATATAAATTGTTAAATCGTTTTGACATTTTTATTCATTTTATAAATCACTGTATTAATTTCAATAATATATTTCAATTTAATAAATAAAATTGGGTATTTAATACTATATTTGGTGTATAAATTTTAATACTATATTTAATTGCGTACTATATTCCGATTTAACCCTTCACTAGAAAGATTAAAAATCACTTAAACTTCAAAGGTGGGGTCTATTTTATCCCTAATACAAAATTAATAAAAATTTGTAGACTTAAATAAAAAATTAAATTTGTAGGCAAAATTCTCCTAAAAATATCTTAAATATGCGGAATTAAGAATTCCTATATATTACCACAAAAAAAATTTACATTTGTAGGCAAAATTCTCCTAAAAATATCTTAAATATGCGGAATTAATAATTCCTATATTTTACCACAAAAAAAATAAAAGTTGTAGGCAAAATTCTCCTCAAAATATCTTCACAAAAAATATTAAATTTGTAGGCAAAAATAAAAAATTGATAAAAAAATATATCATAAAATAATATCATAAAAAAATAACATAAAAAAAATAACTTATAAAAAATAACAAAAAAAAATAACAAAAAAAAATAACAAAAAAAAATAAAATAAAAAAAATA